TTCCCACCACCCTTCACAATTGACAGTTCTGGTTCATGCTGATGGGGATTACAATTGGACAACTGGACAAAAATTGGGAGGGTCATGTGTTCCTCGCCCTTCTTTCTGCAGTCATCTGTACCTAACATGTGAGTCAGGGCAGATATGGAAGGTACATACAACTTTGGAGACGTGACCCTGTCTGTGTGGACATATTTTCACACATATGTGTGGACATATTTTCACACATGAATGAGGCTCATAACAGATTTTTGAGTAATATTACATCATGGTGCACAACAGGGAAGACCTGGGATCAAATCCCTTCTCAAAACTGGGCCATCACTTTCCAACTTCACAGGGTTGTTTGGAAAGATATGAAGGGAAAGAATCATGTATACCTTCAGCTTTTTAAAGGAACAACAGAACAACAAACATAATAAATTAAAATATTTACATGTTCAGGTAAGCTTTTCCTGTATGTCGTTGTTACCTACATATTTGTGAAATTTAAAAAAAATCCTGGTTAAACTGGCTAACAGCATTATTACTATTCAGGAACACAGGAAGTTGTCTTCTCCCAGATCAGATGATGTGATCTATCTAGCTTACTGTTGTTCACACTAAACTTCCGTTAAGAGGATGCGTTCCAGGTTTTTGCAAGGAAGTTGTCTTCTCCCAGATCAGATGATGTGATCTATCTAGTTTACTGTTGTTGACACTAAACTTCCGTTAAGAGGATGCATTACAGGTTTTTGCAGAGCACAACACCCATACTCCTTAGCCACCATGGCCAATTAAGCAAGCATCAAGAGAGGTACAGTTCGAAAAATTCCCAGGGCAGTAAATTGGGAATGGCTTGTTTATGCTGAATGGCATCTGCTATCTAAATGTACATGCAGGAGTCCTTCCCTGTTCTTACCTGCAGATAACAGTACCAGAATTTGGTGTCTTCTACATGCAAAGCATGTGATCTATACCACTTGAGCAGTGGCCCTTTCTCTTCAATAGTCCAATGGAAGTTGCAGCTTCCAGCTGTCATTCTTAATTGTCCTTTAATTAATTCCCTGACAGGTAATGCTATGGCTGACCGTAACACCCTTCCTCTTCAATAGTCCAATGGAAATTGCAGCTTCCAGCTGTCATTCTTAATTGTCCTTTAATTAATTCCCTGAGGTACACATAGTAAAAATCTCACTCCATAATTAAAATTGCTAAGAATAATTTATTTTCACTGGGCACAGTATTTCTAAAATGGAGTCAGTCTATTAAGGGATATTTAATGTACATTGCTTCAAGGGGGTGAAGTGGGTGGAACTAAGAGTATTTTAATGCATCTACCCAGAAGACTTCAGAAACACTCATTTGATAAATCTTAAAAGAGATACAGCAATGATTGAGCTTGCTAGTTTTTAATCTTTAAAACATCTGAATATAAATAATTTCCACCAGAGCAATGGTAGACTATTACAAAAGGAAACATCTTTTCTTTCCCTTTCAGAGTAGCAAAGGCATTCCATGTACAGAAAACCAAGAGCTAAGTCAAATGGTTATTCCCAGCCAGTGTACACAGCCCATAGAATTAAGTCAACAAGTATTAACTTTTAAAATGCCACTTGTTCCATTGGTCCACCCTAGACGGGACTAACAATTTTGTCCAACCTTCAAAACCTGTCAAAATGACTGGTTCTTCAAACTCCAGTGCTATGTTTGTTCAGCTGTAAGTCCCTGCTGGGTTCAGTGCAACCAACTCAGGCTCATAGCTTAAGGGTCCTGTTATGGAGTTTAGGTGTGCTGACTTGGTATACATGTGCTTGTGTGTGCAGCATTTTCACTGAGATCATAATGTTTGTGGCACTTATTCAGTTTGAAGGATTAAAAAATCAAGGTGGGAGATCACAGAAGCAGCCTTTCAAGGTACGGAGATACAGGTGTGTGACCCCAACAATCGCTCACCCTTGCTTAGATATAGGGCATTGCTCCTGCATAAATAAAGGAATATGGAAATCTACTTGATGGTCAAGGCACTATCCATTTAAGTACTGTATTCTGTCTGCCAAAGTCAAAAAGAATTTGGACACAAGCTGTTCTTTCTGCTTAGACACTTAGCAGACTTGTGGGTTTCAGCTGAGGTCTAAGATTAACAAGGGCCCACTTACACCAGAATTTGTTCATTACCCTTTTGAAGTACATTCCTCCAACTCTCTGCACTCATGTCCCACCCACATTACCCATTTCTTGCTCAGAACCACCTTACTGAATTGTTTTGAACTGAAGGCTAGGCTCCATGGGTTGTAATGATGTGCATAACCTGCACTTTTCTACTTTTTGGTGGCATAGAATGGTTATCTTACGTAGGAACCAAGTGGCAGCAAACAGCAAGTTCCTCTGGGAAACTGTTACCAATGGTCTTAAGTCGAGTTCAACCACTTCAGCGCCTCTATAGCAACAACTCAAGGTGACTTTTAAATGACTTCTCTTCCTTGCCTCTTTTTTCTTCCATCTCCTTGACAAACTCTTGTGTCTGTCATTTTTTTCTTCAGAATAGCAAGACAGGTGTAATCTAAATCAGTGGTCCCCAGCCTTGGGCCTCCAGATGTTCTTGGACTTCAACTCCCAGTTATTTATTTAAATGACCTCTATACCACCTATCTGGCTGCCAGGACCACTCTGGGCAGTTTACGCATTTACTGAATGACTGTTACATAAAATTGCACACATACTTTGCCCTTAGATTCTCTAATTCCAGTGCTCTCCCCACTCCCATTTTTTTCCTCTCCAAACTGCTCAGAAAGTAATATTACAATAGAGGTGCATGACATTCACATTATATCAGGTGCTATTTGAACCATAATGCACTGCCATTGTACATTTGGGATATGTATCTGCAAAAGGAGATACTCATCTTTCCACAGTGCACACTGAAATCATTGTTGTACATCATGAACATAATGCCTTCCACATCTTACTTAAAGTGTGCACCATGACCCCAATTCAGAACATCTCATTGCTCTCAAAGCAATACAATTCAGATCTGAATCATGTGTTGTGTACAGAACTTTAGACCCTAGCACCCCCTTTCCCCTTTCCAATCATGGAGTTGTAGTCCAAGAACATCTGGAGGCCCAAGGTTGGGGACCACTGGCCTAGGTGACCTCCTTGCTCAGCTGTAATGAAGTCAGCAGACTCCCACATTGTATGTTCTGCTGAATCTGATAGGTTAGTAGACCTATGTGATTGTCTCATGTGCAGATACCATGTGGTATTAACTGAAAACAGAATGAAGTTTGCTATGGGAGAAAATGGCAACATATTCTTATATTGCTACTAATTTGCTGGAAAATATAGATTTTTTGAAAGTACAACTCTAGATCTGAACATCAAATTCAGTACATTCGTAATTTTTATTCATGATTTGAGAATATATCTTCATTGGTGTAAAGACCATATTGCTGTGCTTTATTGGTATGGATCACATTCTTTATGATTGTCATCAGTGCTATGAGCTAATAAAATAGTATTTTTAACTCACATGAAACTCTATTCTGGGTTCTCCCCTTCCCTCTTCACAGATTAATTCAGTCTAACATCTCTGACCTTATCCCTCTCCTTCTTGACTAATTCTTCTTGCTTGTCTTGCCACCTTTGGTCTTTTTCACTGTTACTCTGCCTCTGCAAATATGGGCATCTCCTCTTCCCTGTCTAGTGATCTAGCGCCCACCCACCCTTGCACAGCCTGTTTGCGCCTGCGCGCACGCTCCAGCACACTCATGCGAGTGCCATGCCACAGTTTGCACATGCAGAAGCATGCCCAGATGAGCACTGCGCTGGCATTTGCGCATGTGCATGAGCCGTGCGCTCATGCACAAATGGTGGCACGGCGCTCGCACAGGTGCACACACACTCATGTGAGAGAGCACTTGTTCACGCATGCACACAAGTGCAGGGGGGTGCCCCGCTTTCCCCAGTCAGTCCGTGGATTGAAAGAGGATGGGGACCGCTGGTGTACAAGATACTCTCTTGTGCTCAATACCAGACATGGGATACTTGTATTCAAATCCCTGGGAATACGAATATAGGCACCTCAGGTGCCACTGAGATCCAATCCCTTTCCCCTGAACTGACCAGTCCACTCACAGGTTGCCATGTGCTGCTTATATACTGCTCCATAGTGCTTAAGGACTATCTGGGTTGTTTACAAGTTAATTATACAGGCTACACTCCCCCCCCCCAAGAGCTGGGTACTCACTTTACAAACCCTGGAAGGATGGAAGGCTGAGTGAACTATGAACCGGCTACCTGGGATTGAACCCCAGGTCATGAGCAGAGTTTTGGCTGCAGTACAGTTTAACCACCGCACACAAGTCTCTTTAAACCTCATATCAAATATTAGGGGTTATATAAGAGAGAAGTGATTTCAGCACACCAACGTTTAGAGAAAAAGAAAAAAAAACACAAGCATCAACAATAGGTAATGATTTTGGTGCAGGGAAAGAGAAAAACAGAACAGTGGCTTATATAATTTTAGAATTACTGGCACAAATGAATGAGTTATGTTACATCATCAGTCTGTTCAATTATATTAAAATAGGGAATTGTATGGCTCACTACAGAGAAAACAAAGCCTACAAGGTTATATTAAGTGTTAAACTGCTGAAATCGTACTGACTGAAATCCCTTTGTCTTCAAAAATTATTTTTAGATCTTTACAATAAAACAATCACACTCAACATCTGTCTTCTTTCGGGGATATTTCTTATTCAGATAGAAAAGTTTTCTCCAGCAGATTCTTCACTAGCTAATTCAAGGATGAAAGATATTTTGCAGAATTATGTCCAAAATGACTTGATTTGACACACTGAATCATTCTCTAACATGGCAGGTATCTTTGGTATAACTTGGAAAAATAACGCAGCATCTTTTCCATTACTTTACTCATCACGTTTGGTTTATGTCCAATAATGTTCTTTCACCACTATTAAAGATACCATTGACATCTTGAACTTCTCCCTCCTGTAGCACCAGGGTAAGTTATGTATGCAACTGATTTTTGTAAAAATTAATTCTGGCAATTTAATTTAGGTTGTGATCCTATAGTCACTTACTCAGGATCATGGTCCACTGAACTTAATGGGACTTCCTTCTGAGTATGAACGTATGAGATTGCACTGTGGGTCTCCACCCACCCCATCTCTTGTTAAGTTTAGATGTTGTTGTTGAGAAAGGAAGAAGTTAAATGCAGTCTACTATTTCCTCAGATGGTTGCCTCAAACTGGGATTACAAGCCATAAAATGAAACTGTGTGAATCCTGGAAGTTTATTGCAAGCAGCACCTATGGCAGGAAAGAGAGAAATAAAAAAATTAAAAGAGTGATGAGAGTCACATTAATCTGTCTCTTTGTGCTTTTCACATCTAAGAAGAGAACTACTACTAATTCTACTACACTTGTGTAATTGTCCTTTTATAGCCTCAATTAACCTGCTATCAACAGATCTTTAAAAGTCTTTTTGAAAAAACTTTTGAAGAGGAAAGTGCCTTCAACCAATACTGCAGACTTCATACTAATAATTCAAAGTTCTATATACTTTGTTTCAGTTTGCATTTTAACATTGGTAAATGTAATGAGGTTTTGCATCGCTTGCCTTTCAACCACAGAACTGTAGGAAACCAGAGATGAAAGAACTGCAGTAAACAGCCTAGCCCAATAAGGCATATCGATTAGCAAAATGATACTTCTTGGTGATCCAAAGGTTTGCTAATGAGATACCCAGTGTGACTGATCTTTAACTGCTTTGAAGCTGGAGTCTCACGTCTGATACAGTTTTTGAACATTAATACATATACTTAATTTAAACACTTTCATAGGAATCATATTCATACCAATGCTGGAGTGACATATGGGTAGCATAAATAGAATCAAAGCTCCAATACAGAATCTGCAAGAAATATATAAAGACATACCATAGCTTTCACTTGTGTTGGCACAAATAACAGCACCAAAAAAGTATGGGACATATTTCTGAATCCTAGAAATAACTTTTTTACATGCCATTGTTGGATCCATTCCTGTCCGCATATATTCCACAGCTTGGTAGTTGATTTAAGGGGGGAAAGTAGAGAGGTTAGTAACTGGATCTCATTACATCTAATAAATCACCTGGAAGTTTTAAAAGAAGACTATAAAACCTTTTTTTACAATCACTAAATGTTTAAGAGGGGGATCTCCTATGAATGTGCAGCTTGCCAAATGTGAACATGAGGTCATTTTGGTGATGGCAGCTGGTTCCCTTTTTAAGTAAAGTAAAAACATTTCCATCTGTAGATAAAATAGGCATTTTAGAAGCTGCTTTGGTAGAGGTTTCTTTTAAATATCTTGGATTGGATTTTACCATCATCCACTCAGCTTGCACTTAATGTAATCTGTTTTACTCATTATCTTTAACAGCAAGTAGACAGATTTACATATTCCTCAACTCTGAAAGCTGTCCTGAGAGAATTTAAGGGTTAAAGAGTATAATGTCAATCTTTTCTCTCTCTCCATATATGAACTCAGCGTAGTTGCCAGAACTTGAGTGTAGAGATAATTTTTAAAAGTCTATTTTCATTCATGACACACAAAACTAGGAGTAAATTTATCACTTTTAAAACGGTCACATTACCTTTTGTTTTCATTTCTACAAGAATTACCAGAACTGATTTCTTATAATTTAATTGCTACAATTTAAACATTTTTAATTGAAATGTTCTGAATGTGCAAGCCAAGATTACTTAATAAATCATCATCAAGATTTCCCAGACATAAAATATTCAGAAATGGTTTTCTACTCTATTCCTCTGACGGTGTTCTACGACTATGTAGCTTGCCCAAGGATCCACAAGCTGGCTGTTCTCCAGGTGTCACGGGAGGTGACCTGAAAATCCCACCCTTGGGTTTGAAGGCAGACAGTCAAATTGTTAAAAGTATTCAGCCACCCTCTATTTTATCTCATGGAACCTCACAAGTAATTCCAGTATTGAAAATCACACCACATACAGTGTATCTATTCGAAGTTAGTAAAAGACAAATACCTGGGCAAGAAACGCATCATAACATCTCCTTCTCTAGTAGAAGATGCAGTGCTAGCTGTACTATCAGCATAGGCTCCGGTTCCAGCTATTGGTGAATCTCCTACACGTCTAATTAGGCAAGTAATATAGAACAAATTTAAAAAGTTGGTCAGTGAGGACAGGTCCCAATTTTTCTAATATATCCAGTAACGAAAGACTAATGAAGGAATTGCTGACTTTAGTACCTCAGGAAGAAAGCCACACGCATTTAGGGAATTACAAAATTGAATGCCTACCTATACTACAAAGCAAAACAACTACTAAACTCCTTTCCATATGGAGAAACCTCTTTTATGCAAGTTAATCTAATCCCAGAGAGTGGTAATATGAGACAACCACAAATGTTCTATCACAGGGAGAAGTAGTCTAGGAGTCGTTTTAAACTAGTCACACCGGAGATGTAGCTTCCTTTTTGTTTTCACATCTGGAGTTCTGATTGTTCCTCTATGAGGAAAGTTTGTTAGTCCTCAGCTGCAATTTTATTAACAATTCTCATGGACTAAAGGCAAAAGGTAAAGGTTAAATTGTTGTTGAGGATGGAAGGAATAATGTTGCAGACTAAAGTGGTGATATACAGTAGAAAAATCAAAAACTATGCAAAACTCACACCTCCACCTAATTTTCCACAATTTCTCTGAAAGTACATAAAAGTAGCTCTTTCATACAGTGTCGGTTACTGTTGGCATCACAGACAAATAATTTGTTGTTGTTGTTGTTGTCTTGACTTACACACTGTCCTATAATGCTAGGGCACTTTGTGGCTTACATATAATTATGCAAGGAACACTTTTCCTCCCCAGCAAGCTGGGCACTCATTTTATCAACCTCAGAAGCTGAGTCACCCTTGAGCTGGCTACCTGAACCTTTCAGGATGGAACTCAGGTCACAAGCAGAGGCTTGACTGCAGGACTGCAGTTTAACCACTGTGCTGCGGTGCTCTCTGTTTTGTCTAAAAGATCAAGCCAAGATTTGCTCCACCACAATACAAACCCTTGGGTTTTGTGGTTTGCACCATTTGTAGAAATCCCTGCAGCAATGCTTCCAGTCTGACCAATCACAACCATGCCTACAAATTTAAAAAAAAGAGTGAAACTTAAAAGCACTATAAGATATTTCTGTTAATAGAGATAACATGAAGACGACTATCGTTCAAAACACACGCATCTGCCTCCCAGAAGAATGCTATGCAGCAACTGCATTTGTCACATCATATTGATATGCTGATGGAAAGCTCTTCACTTGGGTTTATGGCTCCCCAAATGCCATTTTAACAAAAGCTGTCACACACTGGCAGGGTGGTGGTGGTTAAAATGTGGCTGGAGAGGGAAAGAGATCAACATGCTGGAGACAGCTTCAGTTGAGAACTGCCTTGCTTCCCCAGGCCTCAAGGCAGATAATCTTTCAATTTTTGGAATGGTTCCATTATGGGAACAGTCCATCACAAGAAAGAAAGGTCATAACTCATCCAATGAGTGGAGCCAGACGACCAAAAAGACCACTAGTGCTATACCACTTAGGCTATAAATATGACACTGAATTCAGATTGTTGGCAAAGTTCTATTTCTATGACTCTCTTGCTGGAAGAAGCCCCCACCCCCTCATTCTTTCTTTAGTACCCCCTGGCCATTTCTTTAGTACCCCCTGGTCCAAAGGGTAAGATGTCCTTCAGATGTGGTGCAAGGGGGAAAGGAAACTAGTGAAGGCTACTCTTTCTTTGAGCTACGGCCACTCCTGAAATGGCAACTTTCTGTGGAGGGGCAATTGGACCACAAACCTTAAACCACAAACACTACAAAAATGACATTAAAAGTTTATTTTAAACTCATGCAAAAATACAGATTTTAAAACTCTCAATGTACCAAGGTACATCTGGATTATATGTGCAAATGGTTACCAGGTGGCGGGGAGTTCTGTGAACATTGCACCAAACTGACAACAGTGTTAAGCAAGTGTAGAATGTCTGTATTTATGTTGCTGCCAAGTGGACAGTTTACATATATCAATCAAAACGTCTCACTGTTATACTCTGGATCTACTAATTCACCTGCGAAACAATATAGTTTGTGAAAACTGCGACAGCAGAGTAAATCACTAGCTAAGGCAAACTGCCAGAAAGGAAATGTTCATAAAAACACACCTTAAGAAGTTTCACCGTTTGACATTTTTAAAATGTTAATTGTTCAATGATGACGAGTTTAATCACCACACTCAAAGTTTCTCCTTAAGTGTCTGGCAATGAGACTCATGCTCCCAAGTCACTTAGGTGCTTCTGTAAATTTCATATTTAATTGCTATGCAGATGGTAGAACTTCACTTCAAATATATAGACATGATTTTCACCCCCACCCTACATCTAAAACTTTGTCAAATGTGAAGTTGAAACTTAGCTATTTGGAGAGATTTGCCTGGTATATGTAGTTTTGGAACATCTGCTTAGAAAAATAAATTCATTGAAATGAATGAGCTAATTCTAAAATGATTTGTTCATCTACAAGGGGTACTCTTGATGTAATTTTTGCAAACAAGCAAGAGAAATAAAGTTGCTCCTTGAAATCTAAATGGTGCTTCACAATTCAGAATAGGACTATGTTCAAACCCAACCTTTTCCTTATCAGCCTATTTGTATGTGTACATGTGTGAATATATCTGGAGGTTGAAAAGAGAAAAAAACCATCAGTCTCGATTCTAAAACTCATTAAAATAGCATATGACAACTGTGTACCGTTCCCCCCAAAACAAGCCCTAGTAGCATTTTTTCAGGATGCTCGTAATATAAGCCCTACCCCCAAAATAAGCGCTAGTTAAGTGAAACCCCGCCCTCCACCATTGTGCAACAAAGATAAAATGACTGTATTTGAATAAATGTAGATTGTTGTACATGGGAAAAAAATAAAACATCCCCTGAAAATAAGCCCTACTGCCTTTTTGGAGCAAAAATTAATATAAGACCCTGTCTTATTTTGGGGGAAACACGGTACATTGGATAAGAAGCTGAGATTCAAAAAGTCATTTTCTGGATTACAGCTCCCAGAATCCCTCAGCTAGCATGGTCAATGGCCAAGCTGGCCAGGGAATTCTGGGATCTATAGTCTCAAAAAGAACCTTTTCAAAGCTCTGGTTCCAAGCAGTTTGGGTTCACATGGCATGGAATCGCTAGTGTTTCTGTCCATTAGGAAAAACATCTATTTCATACATTTGTATTTTACCTTATTTAAAATTGATGCTCTAATTGTGAGGTATGTCATAAATATCAAGCAGAAATATAATAGCCTAAATAGCAGACAAGAAGGTATACCAATAGTATCATGACTGTGAACTTCGATCCTTTTCTCTGAGATGTTCTGTTCTTCCTTCATGAAAACTGCACTCTGTTTGTATGGCCCACAAGATTTTGAAGCATCTGGAATAACATTCTGTAATCAAAGTTCCATTCACATTAAAATCACTGAGAAAAACAAAAAGTATTTCAAAGAAATCTGTTTTTTTCCTAACACAGTTAAAAAATAGAACTAAATTACCATAATAAAAGAATAACGTTAAGTGCCTTGTAAATGCTGAGAATGAAAAGGCAAATTGCTATAGTTCATATAGTTTAAACATAGAACAGACAAATGCATGCATCAGTCCAGAGCAACCCAGGTAAACTACGGTACTTCAGTTACAAACAGTCCTTCAGATCTCATATTTCTCAGTTCCAAATGTATCCTTAGTTGGACTGCCTGCACTCTCACTAAGTACCGTATTTTTCTGTATATAAGATGACTCAAAGTATAACACAACACCACTTTTTCTAAGCCAAATTAGAAAAAGCAGGGATCAAAGGGCTCCCTTTTTGCTAAGCCCTGTGCCTTGGCAAAAGGAAAGGAAAGCGGCTGTCAAAGTGACTGCTGCTTTTCCTCACCTTTTTAGAAGGCATAGAGCTTAGCAAAAGGGAAGGGAGCAACGCCTCCCCTTCCTTTTTGCTAAAGCCCCGTGCCTTCGCAAAAAGCAGTGGTAAAGAGCTGCCTTCTGGGTATAAAACGACCCTCAATTTTTTCTCAAATTATGTCATTTTATACATGGAAAAATATGGTGATACTTTTTATCACATACAGTGGCAATTCAGATCAGTTGTTCATAAGACTGCCTACTTACAGGCTTTATATCAAGGTGGATAAAAATTAATGATTTTTGAAATCAAATTGATTTAAATCATATTTAATTTTTTTAAAAAAACCAATTGTTTGATTTAAAATGCCAAAAAAATCTATTTTAAAAACAAATTCAATCATGATTTGAAGATTTAAATCAAATCCATCCTGCTTTATACACAATGCTATTATCGGTACTTCTGAAGAACTATAGTCTAATAATCCACTTTACCATATTTTCAATTCACACAACCATCGAACAGTCAATGCACATTATGGTACCTCATTTTAATTCCTTTCTCTGGTGGCTCAACCAAAGCATCTTAGAAGGAAATTCATTTTAATAACAAGCTTGCAAGACTCATCTGCCTACTTTCCTTCTCTAAATCTGGATTCTTTTTCAGACACACTTCCCTCTAGAGAACACTACACAGTCTCTGCAGGGAAAATCTGTGAATGCAGTCGTGATGTTACATTTTGCACAAATGGGCAAGGAAAATATTGTACACAGATCACCATCTGCTTCTGATTTGAGAATGAAGGAACAGCAGTGGATCTTTTTGTTCTGTAGTTTATGAACACATGTCAGACTGGATGTTTTTTTAAAAAACTTAGGATATACCAAGTACTTTATAGCCAGCAATCTGGAGCCTCTTTTCAAAAGATGCCAATCCTTGTAGAGAGCTTCAGAAGGCACATAGTAAGCTACCCAGCTCTGTGGTCATTGCAAAGTATCTCTCAATTTCCACCAAGGCACTGGAACAGCTTGGACAGACTCTTCCAATTTTCACAAGGACCACAGCGGCCAGCTAACTGGAGTCGCAGCTTTTTATTGGTACTGTACTCAGAAATACTCCCCCCAATTGCTTCCATGCATTTCACTACTAAAACAAAACAGCAGTTTAATTTTTTGCCCATGCTTAGCCACAGTCTGACTTGTGGCAAGGATACCATGCATCCCACTTCCCCACATCAGCTACACAATTTAGAACAGCCAGCCAGAGCAGAGCAGAGTTACAGCAGGCGATACCATTATTAGAAGTGAAATGGCTTCTGCTGGCCTACAGCTGTTCCCTTCTCTTTTCCTTAATGAGTATGGGGAGATCAGTAGGATGTAGCAGCACAAGAGCAGCAAACACCATTGATGTTCCAGAACAATTTGTTACTGCTGTGTTCACTCCTGTCAGCAATCCTAATTAACGAGAACTGACAGATGAAAAGGGTGCACAAATATCCCAACTTTCATCTTACAAAAGTCTATAGCGTCCTTTACTAATAGTAACTAATCTTTTCAGCTCTTGGCTTTACACCACATGGAAACTAGTCATCGTGATTGTCCATTACTTTCAAGATTGGAAGTAGAATCCTTCCAAATACAAGTTCCTGAATGTGAGCTACTGAAGAGGGCTACTGCACCCAGTTCCACTCATGGAACATACCACAAACATCCAGTTGGCTACTGTAGTAAATGAGTTGATGGACTCATATTTGGTAGGATCTAGCAGAGCTTCTACTTCTATCATACTGACTGAAATCCTGTTGTGCAGTTCTGTGGATGCAACATGAATGATTAAGGCCTCCTCTGATGATTTCAGGGTGTGTGAAGGAGGACCAGAAAAAGAGAGTGTGCCGTTTCTTCCAGAAAGGGAGACTGTGTTTATAGAATCAAAGGATAACTTAACAAGAGGTGAAAACAGAGACAAAGAGAGAAGAAAGGGTTAAAACAGAAGTGTGTTTGGTAGAGGAGGGGAAGGGAAGAGGAGCTACAACTCCCAGTTTGGGAGGAGGATATAAGAAGAGAGGGGGAGCGACAGTTTAGAATCCCGGGGAAGTTCTTAAGAGGAGATATGCGAAAGGAGTATGAGCATATGAGTGATCTGTTAAAAGACTTCCCGAATCTCAAAGTAGGAGGGTTGTTGCTGGACCCCAAACAGAACAAAGAGGGAGTAACTGTCCCCGAGACTTCTGAATGGACCATGGTGGTCTTTCTGAGGGGTCATGGATTCTGGAAGGTGATGCGCCCAGATCCCACCTACAACCGACCACCACCAGAAGGGGATTGGGCTTGACATCCCTATTGTGGCACGGTGTGCACCGTGAGGAGTGCTCCTCTGAGGAAGATAATGGACAAAGAGCGTTTTGGACTGGCACCCCATTACTAAAGGACAATGTCCGTACAAACATGTCTGTTCAGATAAGTGGATATTTGCCTGAGTTAAGTTACATGGATCCCACTGAAGTTATCGTTGATTATCCCAAAGTTGTTTCTAATAAATCTGTTAATGAGTTGAAGGAGTCTGCGAGTCATTTTCCTGCACAAAATTCGGAACTGTCAAAAAGGTTTGAAGAACCCAATCACAGGGTGCAAACACATTATACACAATGTGACAGAGCCGTATGCATCCCTAAATTGCCAAAGGAAGCCTTTGATCGCCAGCAATATGCTACCACCACCATTCCTGTTGTACCAAGATGAACAACAGGATTTCAGTCACTGATGGAATACAAAATCTTTGCAGCTTTTCAATATGTTATGAAAGCCATCCAATGATCAGCATTCAAAGCTGAATCTATGTTTTGTGATATGAAGCAGAATGCTATTGGTCTATATCATGCACAATATAATACCACTGAGTTGCATTAGAGATATTACCCAACTTATGAACGTGCAATTTTGTTCCCCTTCCTCATCCCATCTCCGTGATCATCTTCTACTGAAAAGTGGTATAATATTATGTAGTCTTCCTCAGACTGGCATCACTCAGATGGGCCACTGGCTTTGCTATCAGGCTTGTGGGCCTGGAATATTCACACTTACATCTTGAGGGCATCAGCTTTGGAAAGACTGGACTATAATCAAATGTAGGAACTGGTTTCGCAAACCATACTGCAGACAATCATCTTGTCTCCAAGTATTTCAGAAATATAATCATGTTTATAAGTTTATAAAAAGTTTATAAAAACAGTTTATAAAAACAGCAATTAAAATTAGATTCTACCTTCCAGAAGTTTGGCCGACAACTCTGATTAAACCACTTTAAATATATTGAAAGAGACTTCTGTGTAGTCAAATCTTCACTTGGGAAACCCATGCTTTCTGCAAAAAAGGAAGCTTCAGGGAAGAAAAGTAGGGAAAAAATGTTTGCATAAGTATGTTTGCCATTTAGTCTACTTGCACAATCATGATGTCTTTTTAATATATCTTCTATATGAAACCGCAATATAGAACTTTTATATCATTCTCATATTACAATACAATAATTCTTTCCAGTTAAAAATCAGATTACTGTCCTGGATTCATCCTTCTCTTCCAAAAACTGGAAGAAAACAGAGCCATGGAAACAAAGAGAAGCGTACTGAGAAAATATGGGAAGTGACAGAAATTGATACTTTTTCAGCCGTATGTCCAAGACAGAAGGAAATTGAAAGAGGGGATGTATTTTACAAATGGTCTTGGTTTCCTTATGGTGTTGGAGTAATTTAGATTTAAACTAAAACATAAATGTAAGTGGATAGCTAGAGGGTAATCAAATAGTTAAAAAAATAGAAAGTTGATTTTTTATTGAAAAATGAATAGATTGGATACTTGCATACTTAATATGAATAGATTGGATGATTGTATATTCTGTGTTCTCCTATCCTTAAAACCTTGTGCCCATCCCTTCCATTTCCTTTTACCTTTTGTATTCCCTACCCTATTCCTAGTAGTTTAAAAATACAATATTAAAAAAAATCACTCTTTCCAAAATTACTATCAGATTTCAGTAGAGGGTTCATAAAGATTTGCTTCAATGTTTATGATGTGATCACTGAAGCAAAAGCCAAAGATCACTGGTTTCCAATGGCTACAAGTAACTAAGAGAAAATTCATCAATTTGCAACAAGGAGGCCATTAATTTTTAAAAAGTGACAAGGAGTAAATTGCTATAATACAACAAGATTGAAAGGTAGGAAACTTCAAAAACAAGTAAAACATTTTACATATTAGCAATTGATCCATATATTTTCTGTTGCTCTGTTTATCAATATCTGTAATACACTTCAACTATATTTCCATTTTGTTATTCTTCTTTATGTTGTTGGGGATGTTTAAGAGAGGAAACTTAATAGCAACATATTATGAATTAGAGAGTTTGATTTTTGATGTAATCTTTTTTGTTATCTGTAACAGACACTAATATTTAAAAGTAGTTGTTACTGCAGAATTCAATACAAGGCTACAATCCTATGTGCAGCTAATCTGGAGTAAAGTCTGCTGTGAGACTTCTTTCCACATAAATACGCTCTAAATCAATTTAGAAATAGCTAATCAAACTGATCTAGAATACAGTGGACCGAGCTCAGCTAAAATATTGTGGCTTTGGTCATAATGGAAGCAGTTGTCAGTCCCACTGGTCTTAAGGCCCCAACGTCTCTCACCATTTCAAAGTGTACTTAATATGTCTTAACAGCAGAATGTGAAAAGGTTACCTGTTTCTCCAACCAGTAAAGTATGCCTAGTATGTTCTATCACTTTCCGTGCTACACCAATGGCATTTTTTATACGTCTGAGATCTGCTACTGCCCCAACCTTCATGGTGTTACTGGACCAAAAACAAAGCAAAAACAGTTAAGCAAAGTAATGATGAACAATATTCGGAGTAGTATTATTTGTAGCAAACGGTATACAAAATACGGGCAAATATGAAATTTATAGAGAAATTTAGAAAACAACCGAAGCCCCATATAAATAGCTCTAATCTGAGTGATAGGCACAGAGTGTAAGCATCTGTTCTTAACTTAAGATCTTTTGGGATGATCTAACATGGGGTGATCTTGTAGGGTGATCTTGTAGCCCAGCAAACAGGGCTACAAACAAACGCTAGAACATACTGTTTATTTCCATTACAAAGCAACTGGGAATTAACTTTTAAGTCTAAGAAATTTAACCTAAGAAAAACATTTTTTCTCTCTCACAGAAGTTTAACAAGTAGGATGTTCTACTGATTTTTCCTCAATGTTTGACCACTGCAGCACTTTTACCAGTTTTAGTGTACAGAAGCTTTCTGAGACTTGGTCATGCTGGGCAAGAACAATGAGAGCTGTAGTCCATCACAGCTGAAGGGCACTGATAGGAAAGCTTGGTCGACTCTACAGCGTTTCCCCGATTAAAACATTTATCTTTCTACAGAAAAGAGGGGAAGGACAAAGGCCTCCTTCCACAAATATTTCCCAGCCAGAAAGCAGTATTAGTTTCAAAATATTCTAAAACAGATTCTCTCCCTTTTGGGGAAAGATTTCTTACCCATCCATAATCATGGCATCCAACGTTGTTTCCCCATGTTCATCCGGACTTCCTCCATACCCCACACTTCCATCACATTGCTCAATCTCACACTGACCACAACCTTTCTCTACTGCATCCAGTTCAGAGCCTCCTGAGTGTAAGGTATTCCAAGCTACAATCAACAAAAAGAACACTTATCTATTAATGCACAGCACATTTGATATGCAGCTCTTACAGAAGCATACACACTGTGCATGTCCTAAAATATACCCAGTGCAAGCAAATACATGGAAGTAGCCATGTTAGTCTGTCCCAGCATATGGGGTGGTGGAGACAAAACTGGTTAAAGATTAACTTTCCTTTTTGTGTGAGGTCTCATGGCTCAAAATCCACTTCCTTGGGCACAGGAGCGTAAATGCATATCCTATAAATGTATGCAAACCACGGTGACCAGATAAGGATAACAAAAAGAGAGAGAGGCCGATTCAACCTAAGCCAGGACCAGTTCATGCAGGTATAGCTTCTGGACTGTTGTTGGTTGAAATGAGGAGAAAATATTTATTGACTTAGGGCGAGCCCTTCTACACATGCTTCGGCTCCCCCTCCTCCAATAAACACTGAAGAAAGCCAACCAGCACCTGTTTCTGTAGCTTTCCAGAATGCACAGATATTGAGGACCAGAGGCAAGGGAGAAGCCCCACCGCTTGATAAGCCACAAATGGCCCTTAGCGCCTGCAGCAGCAAGTACAACAGAAGCGATCTCCTTGGGAGGAGGTTATGCTGCCCCATCGCTGCTGCCCCACACACGGAACGCGCCAAACCGAACGCATGGCTCCCGACCTAACCAAGCCGGGGGACATCTTCCCTGTGGGTCACGTCCCGTGACTACCGAAGCGCATGTGCTGAGGAGCGAAAGGGCGCAGGGGGGAGGTTGGGTGGGGCGACGCCTTTTTCTGGAGGACGCCTTTTCGTTCCTCTCTGGTGGCGCAGGCCGCCTGTTTACCTTTTCATTTGGAATTTCCTCCTTGAGAGGAGTTGCGGGAGGGGCGGCTGAAAAGGTGGCTATCTTCGGAGGGGCAGCCATCAGGCGCTTGAAGGGCAGGCGGTTTCAAAGATTGGCTGTCCGGGTATAGTTTTACCCGGCCGGGCGGCGGCAGTTGCTGCGGTTGGTGGAGTCGGGAGGGCTGACGGCATGACCAGTGACATGGCTTTGGTTTTGGTGAAGCAGATTCATCGCCTTCTTCCTGGAAAACAGCTGCCCCTGAGCTCCTGAGAGTAGGGAGGCGAGAGATATATTTAGAGAGTTGTTAGAACTAGCAGCAGTTTCCTGTGGAGATTTTGCTTGGTGGGAGATTTTTTAAAAGTTAAACTGGACTTTCCTTGAATTAATATACTTTATTTATTAATTAATTCATTCCATTTATACCCCACCTATCTGGTCATTTTGACCACTCTTGATTATGGCAACTTGATGAATTTTGTTTGGTTGGTGTGGATTGGGAGTAGGTCAATTCTAGTACTGTATTGCATTATATTATATTATTTAATATACTTTTTCATATTTGAAGGTAATATTTGCCCTAGAATATTGTCAAAATGAACTAGAAAGCTTGGTGGATGGAATTGCTATAGTCACGGCATGAATACGGAATAGTTTACAAGAAGAGACAAAGTCTTTCCTATTCTTGCTTTTGAAGGAGTTCCCTCTTTATATATAAGCGTCTGCTCCATAGGTATTCTGTAATCCCAGCAAGATGGCAGAAAGTTAGCCTGTTGGCTGATGCAGATCTGAAATTAAGCTGGATATTACAGCTGTTATTGTCTGAGAGATGGTGTCTTGGATTCAGGACCATGGTTAGCAACCCTGCAACCTAGAGTCAGCAATACATTACAGATAGCACATCATTAGAACTATGTGCATGCTCCGGATAATGTGTTTCTGGCACATTTTGTGCTGAAGAAATCAGACTTGCAAATGAAGCCTGTGTTTACCTCCAGGGACCAGTCATAAAACAAAGCAAACTGTAGCAGATGGGAAACCTGGGCTGCAACACTAAGACATCTACCAGCACTTCAGGAATTTCCTCTTCTCATGACATACTAACTATAAAATATAGTTTGATCATGGGATTTGGGTTGTTGTTTTTTTTGGCATGCAGTTGGACACATAATGTGCAGTTGAAAAAAGTGTGTGGTTGGAAACTGATCGATTTGCTGTTGGAGAGAAAGAAAAATTGGACATGGTATGCATATTTGCTTGTTCAAAACATGTTTTTGTTATTGTTATGTGCTATCAAGTCACCTGTGACCTATGGTGACCCCTCAAGAGCCCCGCTCAGCTCTTGAAAACCCAAGCCTGTAGTTCTTTGAAAGAGTCAATCCATCTTATGTTTGGTAAAAAATAAGTCTGAATTTTTTGAAAATCATTTGTCAGTGAAAGGACAACAGGGAAGGGGCTTGTTCTCTCGTCAGGGGGTTCCAAAGCCTTGGAGTGGTCAAAAACAAAGCTCTCTTGTCCTTACCAAATAATCATTTGAGGGTGATTACTTGTTTATTTGAAATATGTTTATTTTGTCTTTCTCCTTAAAAGACCCAAGGTGGCTTATATCATTAGAAAGGCAAGAGAGATAAGCCTTGCATATCTCAAAGCCCACACAGACTTGTTTGAGATAGCCTGCACAGTGATTCCATTGATTTGGAATTTATGTAGAATTACTTAGGTTTTGTATGCAGGCGGATTAGAATGCCTGTATTGTGGTTGGGCATGGGTGGAGTGAGGGTGAAAGAGGAGAGCGCAAAAAATGGCCAGAAGCTGAAAATAAAAAAAAACTAAGATCATGGCTACTTAGTCCCATCACCTCCTGGCAAATAGAAGGGGAAGATATGGAGGCAGTGACAGAGTTTACTGTACTTTCCTGGGCTCCATGATCACTGCAGATGGTGACAGCAGCCACAAAATTAAAAGA